TCCTTCTGATCATTTTTGTGGCCCTCCTCTGGACCTGCTCCAACCGGTCCATGTCTTTCCTGTGCTGAGGGCTCCAGAGCTGGATGCAGGACTCCAGGTGGGCTCTCACCAGAGCAGGGCAGAAGGGCAGGATCCCCTCCCTCACCCGGTGCCCACGCTGCTGGGGATGCAGCCCAGGGCACAGCTGGCCTGCTGGGCTGCGAGCGCACATTTATATGTTACAATGGCCAGTTTATACCGGAATCAGACCATTTTTGAACTGAGTAGTTTAAATATATGGTCTCAGGAGGATTAGTATTGAAAAGAAGATCTCCAAGAGGAATATCTGGCCTTTATGAAGCTGGATGTTTATGTGTTATTAGTATAATAAACATGACTGCTGCATCTAACATACAAATGACACCATGCTCCAGAGGGCATCAGAAAAGATCAGAAATGCCTTTGATTTGGAATCAACCTGCACATGCATGCAGCAGAAACTGGACAATAGTTGATACAGTAACAATCTCCAGAAAAAGCGAAGACCTGTTGCCTGTAACAATCAGAAAATGCTATTGTAAAATTCCAGGTCTGGGGATACTGATGAAAGAAACAATTCTACAGAAACTGAAAAAACATCAAGCATCGATTGTCGTCTGGTTGGTTGGTTTTTAATCTATGATTTCAGAAGGGTCAGCGCGTTATGTCTAGAAGCTAGAAGAAACAGAAGGTTACACTGCTGTATTTTCTCACTTAAGATCACAAACAGGAGCTGTGACCAGATGTGTTCTGCAGTCATTTACATGGTAATAGATGCTGCTGTTCTCTGAGATGAAGTACAATTTTTTTTTTTTTTTTTTTTTCATTTTGACATATGATAGAAAGCTCTAAGGGGAGAATAAAACTGTTTTTCCCTTGAGTCAAAGTCAGAGTCATTTGAGAAATCAAATGACTGTATGTTCCTCTGGTTGCTGTGCAACTTGCAAGCATCTTAAAAGCGCCTCTTTTCTGCCTAATAGCTCATTTCTAAAATGTGCTTTCTGATGTTAGTTCTTCAAATGGAGAGAAATTCACACATCATGAAAGAGCAGCTTTAAAGACCAGCTTGCAAAGGGAATGGAAACAGAAAAAGCCATTAAATTTTCCAATCAAGCCCATCCCAACCTTGCTGAAATAGGCCTAAGGGAAATTTAAGCACGCCACACAAAGAAACTCTCACTAATGTCACAAACCATCAAATGGTGTCTTTATTAAATGTAAGGCTAAGCGCTTACCAATGTAGGTTTTTACTAACTCGTATTAGTCCAACTAATTATTCACAGATTTAAAATTAGTAAATACTGCATCTCAGATCTCAAGTACTGCAAGGACTACAGCTGGCTGAAAAACAAGATTTCCAGTGTGCAGAAATACTTGAATTCCGAATTATAACAAAGAAGTCAACTAAGCCCTTGGTGTGCTGCCTAAAGAACCAATTGCTTTTCCCTAACTTTGTGTTAACTTGAGAGAATACAGAAACTAGCTGTTTCTCTGAGGGGTCCTGTGAATGTCGGCCTCATCTTTGCTTCTAGATGCTGTTACTCAGACTAAAGCATCAAATTCACTGACTACACTAAACCACTGAAAGCTCAGCTCATTAAGGATTGTCTAGGATTCATACTGCTAAATCGATGTACACAAAATATGAAAACATGAAAAAGCTCAGCTTTAGCACTTTCAGGTGTGAAGTAGCCTGAAACTGTAATAATGTCATGGAACTTTTATTATCATCCCTAATTTCAAATTTCTTCATAAAGTTAAGAGAACAATCTTATTTCTACGTTGCAGATAGACAGAACTGAGATCTGGAAAAGCAAGCTGACTTCTCCAACACCACTTATGCCAAGGCCTTTCCTAAGTACGAGTTCAATTTCCATGGAAGTAGGGTCCCAAATGTGTTTTTTCCCCTTTCTGCAAAGCCTTTCATTTGCTGTAGATGGAAATAGCACATGTGTATATCATAGCCTTTTATTATTTCACAGGAACATACCATATGTAACAGGATTTGGTATCAGTTAAATTTTCTGCACAATGAAAAGGAGAGATCGTGATCATTTAAAAAACTGCAGAATGTCCCAGTTTTGTACATGGTCCAGAATCAGAGGCAGATGTACTGTACCAGAAGATCTCCATTTGTGTAAGAAGATGAGCAGATGACTTGCAAACAGTTTATTTCTCCAATACTTAACAAGCACGGTATCAAACTTTTTTTAAAGGACTGCTGCATTATAAGAGCCTCCGATCTCTATCACAAATGGCAGCACAAGACATCAACCCACAGACACGATGGACAATGTTCTGACAGTTGCATTAATGAAAAGAAACACTTCAAAAAGGTGGCACTTATACTCAATTCAGCTAATGTATGAACTAAGTATTCAACGCTATGAAGCCTGCGATAGTGCTGGCATAACATTGTCCAGGATTGTCCCTACCTGTAGACAAAGCCTGCATTTCTGGGGGAGCTAATCCAAAGAGCAAGCTCCTTCTCCATTACTTCTTGAGTAGAATCTGTCCCTATCTGAAGATACAGTTCACTTAATGACTAGGAGATCAGATGCAACTCAGAGTACCTTCTTGTGAGGAC